CACCATTATACTGAGTGCTGTCTTCCACCTCCCTTCTCATGGTGCCCGCCAGAAGGCTCTTGGAACCTGTGGGTCCCACATCTGTGTCATCCTCATGTTCTATACTCCACTCTTCTTCTCTATCCTTGCCCATCGTTTTGGACACAAAGTCCCACGTCATTTCCTCATCCTGTTTGCAAACTTTTATGTCACTATTCCTCCAGCTCTCAACCCCATTGTCTATGGAGTGAAGACCAAGCAAATTCGTGGTAAGATTCTCCTCCTATTTTCTCCAAAGCGGACACTGTGACATCTGACTACTGGGAAGAGGTGAGGTGAATCTTTAAGAAAAAAAATTCATTTTGCAACATCTTCCCTATAAAGAGGAAGGCAGAAACACAAGTTGCTTCCTTTCTCCATGAAATTCAAGAGTCTAACCCTCATACAAGGAATGAGCAGAATAGAGATAGGAAAAGAAACAAAAGGGAAATTAGGAAAGATGACTCATTCTCAAGGAGAAGGTTAAGAATGCTTATGAATAGGAGAGCGAGAGAGAGCGAGAGAGAGAGAGACCCTATTTGTGCTTGAGTGGTGTGTATTGTGAACTTGTGGCTTACTGAAATCAAAAGAACTGATTAGGATAGCCTGTCTCTTCTCCCTACCATTTAGAAATAAGTGTTTTCCAGACAGGTGATTTGGGGATAAATTAGCAGCCAGAGCAGAAAAGTGAAAGACAACCCAGGCACAACATTACCTATTAGAAGTATATTTATATTATTTGAATGAAATGTGAGGTTATAGTCAGTTGGTCTTTAGTTTCAGAGTCCAAGAACCCAGACGCTAAAATAGGACTCCAGACACTTCCCAGTTGGAGGTTTGTTCACCCAGACTCCATCCAAGAGTCTCTGCCTTGAGGCCCCCTGCTAATTCTGTCACTGTAAGTGCCAAAAAATTGAGATTCAGGACCACAAATAGTGCAGGAGCCCAAAAATAAAAGAAGTGTTTGGTATTCTCATTTATGTAAGAAAATTTCATTTCCCTTCATGGGCTATGGTGTTTTTGGGTCATAACTGGATCAAGGTTTAAAGCTGGAAGGGACCAAGCTTCATAGATTCCAACCCACTCATTTTACAGATGAGGACACTGAAGTCCAGAGAAGTTACATGTCTTGACATGGTTACATATCTACCACGTATCTGATTCAAACCTCAGTCTTCTGGTCACAAATCTATCTCTACTGAGGCCACTAGGTGGTCCAGTGAATAGAGAGTGGGATTTGGAGTTATGAAAACCTGAGTTCAAATCCTATTTCAGACACTTACTGTTTTTGTGACCTGGGGCAAACCACTTAACTTCTCTCTGCCTCAGTTTCCTTATTTTTGAAATAGGCATAATAGGACCCACCTCACAGAATTATTGTGAGGATCTGATGAGTTAACAAATTTAAAAAGCTTCTGAAACCTTAAAGTGATATATATGTATAGGTATACATACATATAGAAGCTATTATTATTATTACTCTCTATTCATATTATCATATTACCTCTTAAAACTAGTAATTAGCCACTGTGCCTGTACAGAAGCAATAAGAGAGATGTTATAAAAATCAGCTCCTAAGAGTACCAAAAGCAGTGATCATGAAGGGATGATACCCCAATTCACCAGGGCATGACAGTAGTTTCATTCTGTGTTGATGGTCAACAAATATTTATTAGGTGCCTACTATATACTAAATGCTTTGCTAAGTTCTAGGAATTCAAGGAAAGGCAAAAGGCAGTCCCTACCCTCAAGGGTCTCATAGTAAATGGTGGGAGGAAGGAGAACAATATGGAAATGGCTGTGAACAAGCATAAATTGGAGATAATCAATAGAGGGAAAGCACTAGCATTGTGGGAGAACAGGAAAAACTTATTGTAGGATATGGGATTTTAACTGAGACTTGAAAGAAACAAATTCATACTTGACGGTCTACCCAATTCTGATAAGGAAAAAAAATGAGTTTAAAGAGACAATTAATGCGGATACACAGGGAACTCGCCAGCGAACTTGAATGAAACAAAGACCACCTACAGATGATATAAGGACAGATAAAACAAAATGAGTATAAAAGTATGTATGGTTCTGAAAAAAAAATAGCATAAGGTATAGTAAAATTCAGAACCAGTTTGACCTAGTAAGAAAAAACAGGGACAACAAAAAGAGGCTTTTCATTTTTTATTTTTTTTAAATGAAGATCCACCCTTTTCCCTTCTCATTCTATTTTCCTCCTAAGAAAACAAAAACAAAACAAACAAAAAAACAACCCCTAGCCAAGCAAAATAAATCCCCATATTGGCCACATCCAAAAAAATTCTTTCTTAATCTGTGTATTCTGAATTCATTATCTATTAGTAGGTGAGTAGCCTGTTTCATCATGAGTCTTCTGGAACTGTGGTTCACAGCTTCACCAACAGTGCACTGAAGTACCTGTTTTCCCACAATCCCTCCAGCATTTGTCGTTCTATTTTTTGTCAACTTTACCAATCTGAGGAGTGTGACGTGGAATCTCAGAATTGTTTTATTTTTTCTTTACAACATGACTACTGTGAAAATATGTTTAATATGAATGTATATGTAGGCCTATATCAGATTGCATGCTGTCATGGGGAGGAAGGGGGAGAAAATTTAGAACTCAAAATCTTATGGAAGTGAATGATGAAAACTAAAAATAAATAAAGAATTGAGTACTGAAATAGAAATGATAAGGAACCTTGGAAACAAGTGATAATTCCATCCTCTTAGGGTTTGTGCTACAGGGGCTCTGAGAGCAGATTTAAAGAGTTAGAGAAAAGGAATGAGTGAAAGAGAGAAAGGGAGAGAAAAAGAGTAGAGGATAGCTGGATGATTTTTCCTGACTCCAAGCTCAGCACTCTTATCAGATATTGTGGAGAAAACAATTTCAGTGTTAGTCCCCAATTTGACCTTAAGACACTTCTCCCTGGTTGTAGAGAAAGGTCACACCTATGACACAATTAGTGAACACTACAAGGTAAAGATTAAGTGTATTTACATTACATGGCAGAGAACATCTGCCCATTAAGTATGAGGAGAGATCAGCAAAGAAAGCTTCCTAGAGGGAATAAGACATAACTCACCCAGCCTTGGACAATGGGTAGGGTTTGACTAGGCAGAGAAGTGTTGTTCCTGTGGGAATGGAAAGATACAGATTATCTGGACAAAGGTAAATGATTGGGTGTGGTAAGAGAGAGGAAAGAGTCAAAGATGACTATGCCTTCAAGCTAAAGTGACCGAGAAGATGTAATGGTATCAATAAGAGAGGAGGCAATGTGTCGTCATGGATAGAGTGCTAAAATCAGAGTTAGAAGTCTACCTCTGGAGTCAAATCCCACCTCTGATATCAAACGTGAGCAAACTATTCCATCTCTCTGAATCTCAGTTTCCTTGTCTGGAAAATGAGGGTGATAACAAATAGAGTAACAATATCACAGTGTTCTTTTGTGGGAAAAATGAAATAATGTATGTAAAGTAATTTGAAAACTTTAAAGTGTTTCATAAATGTCATTTTGGTCAAGTGAGTGATCTTTCAAAGGAGGTAAGGTATGTGAGGGCCTGTGGCTTTAAGTATAGGTGTAAAGTCCTGGTAGAATCTGGAGGAATGAAAATGGATAGGGATGAGAACTCAATGTCTGTAGGAGTGGCGTTGACATTTCACCTTGGCAATATAGACAAAGGAAACTCTTCTCTGAGATAGGAGGCAAGGGGAAAAAGTTAGAGCTAGAGATTCCCTGAGGCAAAGAAGAGGGACAATGAAAGCTTGCACTGATTGGATTTCTTGAATAAGTTCAACCAGGTGTTTTAGTACTATATAGAGGAGGACTGGATGAACCATACTATGGAATCACAAGAAATTGAGAACCTGGGAAACAGCAGGGAAGTTCCATTTGAAGTCAGACAGAAGGTCTGCAAAGCAGCTCTTCTCAGCTCTGTTACTTCAGCAATGCTCCATGATCTGAGAATATCCATGGAATAATTTTATTTACCTAGTCAAAGATTTAGGGAATCAGGGAAAATAGGTACATTTTAAAAAAAGGAGGGTAGGAGGGGCAGTCTACAAGTGCCTGACTTGGAATCCAAGCTGTGTAGGGTTTCAAGTTTATCCAATAGAAACTGAATAAAATTTTATTTCCTATTCTTTGTTCTCTATTGGATTCAGAACTTGAAAGTTCCTTTTTTTCCCCTCTGTCTTCATTCTTCTGTGAACTCCACCAACTATCAAGTCAATACAGTTAATTCAATTCAATATAATCTAATAAGCATTTATTGTCAACTGTGTGTCACGCAAAAACAAAAATTAAACAGTCGTTCCTATCGTTTTGAAAAGTGAGAATGAGGTTTGATCTTTCTCAGAATTGAAAAAGAGACAGTGCAGTTACCCTGAGGGATTCAAAATAAGTGAGCACTACAGGGAGAGAAGGTAGGTCCAGGGAGCTTGAGGGCAAAAACAGTACACCTTAAATGGCTCAAGGAAACGGCAGAAATGTGGAGTGAGACAGAAACGAGTAGCTGAGCAGTCATTGAGTTGAGGGAACTCTGAGAGTGGGTTTAGCCTCTGCCCAGTCCTCTCCCAACCCCAGACTCAGACTAGGGCATGGAGGTGAGAAGAACAATTTATTTAGATTGGTGCAAAAAAGAACAGGTTATGAGCACATCTGTGTGTGTCTCTTCTTACTTTCTTTTAATTATGAATCATACCTGAATTTATTATTAAACTACTTGATTCTACTTGTTCCAAATAGTCATTAAAAACTTTTGAATTCTAGGCTTTATTTCTGGACTAAGTGAGCTCTAATTTCCCTTCCAGTTTTAACATATCATGATTTTGTTATTTGTTGGGAAGTGGAGAAGAGAAATGGTTATATATTGTATGAAACAGAAACACTTAAAGAGGAAAAAATGTCAGGGAAAGAATGACAGAAGGCAAACTAGGATTCTTCTTAATATAGATTCCAATATTTCTTTTTCAAAAGAGTATAAAAATAAACCATTACTTTCAGTTTTCACTCACAAAAAGGGATATATGTTCACAGTAGATCAACACAAAATAATCCTTTCAAGATAGTACACTCTGTCCTGACTATTGCATCGCAATGCTTCTACACAGCTGTGATTTTTTTTTTCATCACCAATTCTTGAAAGTTCTATATTCCAGTAAAGTTCATCTTTTCCCTATAGAAATATAGTCAGCTCTGTAGGGTAAATTAATCTTAGTTGTAAGCACACATCTTTTGCATTTAGGCAAAAGATGGAATT